TATTTCATTTACAAATACAGTTTTAATATTAGGGATAAGTGGAGAGATTTCAGCTAAATCGATATAGAAGCTGTTTTTTTCTGGGTGTGTTTAGGGTAGTTTAGTTTAATTAAGTTAGTGTCTTTTTGTATTTGATTGCTATTTGTGCACTGTCACTGTCATTCAGATGTGTATGTACCGTATTTGCCGGCGTATAAGGCCACTAGGCGTATAAGACGACCCCCTAATTTTTCTGTTAAAGCATAGGTTTTTGGGCTATACTCATCATATAAGATGAGTATAGCCCAAAATAATGTTTAAATACATCCACTAACCTCCATGGCAATATTCCCGAGTGTGGCTCGGGGTTAATTTTCAGTACCATAAGCAGTAACCCCGAGCCACACTCGGGATTACAGTCTCTTACCTTGTCCACGATCCTGCTGTGTCCTTGGTCTTCCGGGTTTCGTCCCTTGCGAGCGTCCGCGTCGCAGGGGGGCTGAAGCAGCGGGAGTTTTAAAAGTTAAATAAAAAAAAGAACAAAAACGGAAAAATAAAATAAAATAATCAGACCGCCAGGGAGGCTAATCTGTCAGCCCTCTGGATGTGCGGTAATACTGTATGTACGGTTACTTTGGCTACATACAGTATACCGCGCTGAGCCAATCACAGCGAGCAATGCCAGGAGATTGGCTCAGCGCGGTATACTGTATGTAGCCGAAGCTACCGTACGTACAGTATTACCGCACATCCAGCGGGCTGGCAGATTGTATACCCGGCGTATAAGACGACCCCGGATTTTCGTAGGGATGTTTTTAAGTCTAAAAACTCGTCATATACGCCGGCAAATACGGTAAGTTTCAGCAACAATTCAACAATTCTGCACCAATTATAACAGACAATCGACCCGGTTTTATAGGAGACATTAGGCAGGAGCACACCAGGTACCTTAGTATCTGCATTCTTAGCAAAAATCATCCGACAAAAAAAATACTCTTCTAGGAATCAAGTGCATTCATAGGCATAGCCCCTTTAATCACGTACAGCATATTCTATAGTTTTTGTCAGGCTTGAAATATCATTTTGCTTGGGTGGATGACGTCCAAATGATAATCTATCACTTGTAATTTAGAAAAACATTTAAAAAGACAAAAAAGTTTGTGTTCAATACTTCATGCAGACTGTTCTGTTGCAGGAGCCAAAAATTGACTGCATGTCCGAAGAGGGCTATAAACTGGATAAAGTCAAGGGAGAAATTGAATTCCATAATATTACCTTCCACTACCCTTCCAGACCAGAGGTCAAGGTAAGATGCAGAACCTCAACAATGGCATTGGTTTATATAATGAGCATATCCTGGTTCAGCAGCATGCATTGCATGAGCACAGTGTTCTTAGCTGCTGTAAAGTTTGAATATAAATTGCGCCATAGTGCCTGCAGCTATGGAAGTTAGTGACTTTATTTTAAGCAAGGTTTATATATGAATGTCCATAGCTCCACTCCACATCTGGGTTTATCCTAGAAAATACTGCCTAGCTACCCCATTTCTAATTTTTTTCGCAAGCTGTAGCTCCCCAGTTCACGCTGCTGTCTGTGGATAATTTTGTGTTCCCGTTGCTTTTCTCCAAAGCAGGAGAGGCATTCCCGAATAAACCCACTGTAGGCTCCTTACTGTCTCTGGCATACAGAAAGGCTGATATTTCAACGTGCATGTGCTGAGTGCCGTGAATACTTTCATCACAGCCACTGATAAGATTAAAAATTGCATTGATTAGCAATACAGTTGCTCAGCCAATGATTGTGATCACATGCTGGCTGCAGCTGTCATTGTACAATGTGTAAAAAAAAGACATAAAAAAAACAACTTGATTAAGAACTGTTTAGTGTAACATAACTGAAAAAAAATCATGGTGTTAACCAATACATGCCAGCACTACTAAATACGGTCTGGGCATCTGAGTTTAAATTATCTCTGGTTATGAAAGTAATGTGTGATCTACTGAACTGTACAAATTATTGCTGCTTATTAACTAAAATTATGCTTTTGTTAAGGCAATTAACTGGTAATTTGCATTTATTTTTTCAGATTTTAAACAAATTAAACATGATTGTTAAATCTGGAGAAACAACAGCCTTTGTAGGACCTAGTGGAGCTGGAAAAAGTACAACAGTTCAGCTTATGCAACGCTTCTATGACCCTGATGAAGGCATGGTGAGTAGACTAGATATCTTTTTTAGTGGCTTGTATTTGTTTTTAGTTCCTAAAATTTTAAATGCAGATTTTGCCAATCTGTATATTCAGTAAATTCATGAATCCATGAAATAATCCATCACAAGAGAAGCATTGAAGTTAGTCAAGCAGGGTCTTGGCGCTTCCATACATTCCATACATCTATTAGATTTATCATTTTAATTTTTTAACTGTCAGAAAAAGAAAATATAGGAAATCTAACTAATGGGGCCGTGAAAAAAAACACATATTTAGCAGATAGCCAATAGCAAACTAGCTATTGCACCCGCCCTCAGCCAACGGCTCAATGTCAGAATTAAAAAAAAAAAAAAAAGCAGTGTTTCTGCGCCCGGGAGAGTTGGGCTGTCTGGAGATCAGTGTCCCTGGTTAGCTGGTAACCAGAGACGCTGATCTCTCTGCAAGTGGCCGGAGCCAGCCGTAAGATCACGGCTGGCTCCGCCCAGCTGTCAGAAGCAGGCTGTTGGCCCGTACAGCAGCCCTTCGGTTCTACTGAACCGAAGGGGTCCTGGGGCCGAAGCTAGCCGAAGGATCAGCCAAAGCTACGGCTAGATCCTTTAGCTGCTTCATGAATATACCCCAATGTTTTTATTGCTGCCATCCCCGTGACCCCTGCACAGGTTTTATATGAAGGCACAGGAAGTGACAAAATGTCTCCTATGGGGGCACAGACAGAAATTTAGTTCTGACAGGAAATGCAACTGTTACCCCCCAATGAAAACATGAAAATTAAAGTTTTAGGTTTCAAAATCCATTTTTTTTGCACTACCCCAGTCATTTTGTTGTTACTTTTAACCTGCCAGGTCACTCTGGATGGGCATGACATACGCTCTCTGAATATCCAGTGGCTGCGCTCTCTGATTGGTATTGTAGAACAAGAACCTGTTTTATTTGCGACAACTATTGCAGAAAACATCCGCTATGGTAAAGACAGTGCAACCATGGAAGATATCATCAAAGCAGCCAAGGAAGCAAACGCCTACAACTTCATCATGGATCTACCTCAGGTATTTTGTTTAAAGCCTGTTTAAAATATATTTAAGTTTATAAAACACTACTGAAAACCGTATATGGAAAAATCTTTTTACTGTCATCATAAAGCAACCAAGGTTACAACCAGAGCATTGTTACTAGTGTTACATTTTAGTATGACTCCCCACAACATATGAACGGTCACAGGATGTGATTTTCCACATGTAGAGGAATGAATACTGTTACTCTGCAAATTTTGTTGAATGGCAGAATTGGTCTAAGTAATCTAAGTAAAAGGGAAAGGCATCTCGTGACCAATGATCCCCTAGTAATAATGTTGTGTGGGGACCTGTTCCACCAGGAAGCATTGAAGGAATGCAAAAGTGCCAAATTATTAAATTTGAATGCATATGATGTTGAAGTACATCCAAAGCTAAAATGTTTTAACAGTTGTCAACGCGGCAAGTGTACCTATTAAAAGATTTCCCTGTCCTATTTCTGTGACACATTTTGTTTTTCCCATTGCCTTCTGCATTGGCAACAATAATCAGGACAGGTTTAAAGGAGAATTATGGGGAGAGTAAAATACACTCTTCCCCACAATTAGAGCCGATGTGTGACACTAAAGCTGTCACATGCCGGCTCTATGATTGGAAAATGAGTGATCACATACCGTAGATCGCTCATTTCTTTTCCCTGCAGAGAGCGTTGACTGTCAGCCACCTCTCCCTCCCAGGCATTCAGGGGCAGGTACAGCGGAACTTTGCCTCTAGATAGGCAGAGCCAGCTGTCAATATTGTTGGGATCGGTCAAGGCTGCATCGTGGCTCTGCGCTGTCAGCATATAGCAGGCAATAGCCCACTATATGCTGGGTTTTGGTTCACAGGAGGACATAGTGTATGTCCTCCTGTGATCCTTAAAATAACTATGGCCATAAAAGGTTGGGCCATAGTTCTTTTTTAATGTACCCTGTAAGACAGCAGTAAAAACCTGACAGGGTGTTAACATTAACCTACTCTATCGAACAGTATTATAAACAGTATTATAAACATTTTTGGTTTTACATAAACTTCAAGCAATGGAACGATAAGGAAATAGAAGAAATATTACATATGAGGGGGTTCAGTTCCTAAATTTACCAATCTAAAGTTCCTTAACTACCTCCGGGCCGGCCGTAGTAAAAAAACGGCCGGCCAGGAGCTACCGTAGCTTAATCAATAGATTTGTTTTTTTATAACAGAGTGACAAGGATTGTAAAATCAAGTCCCCAGATTTCAGTCAAACCTCTCTGGCTGATATGTTTTACTATTATGTAAATGCATTCCACAGTGAAGGAGGTTTATCAAGCAAGTGACTTAGCATTTACTGTATTTTTATCAGGAATGGGGTTGCCTCACATTTAGCAAAGACAGGTTCTATGTGTACCCCTGTACTCCTGGTCGCACCACAAGAAACGTCCACAAATCTGAGACAGATTTTTATTAATAGCACTTGCACAGTGAATAGGTGGTCAAGGATCTTACAATCAAGGCTTGGATCTGTGTCAACAGGCTTTGGGCTTGTGTTGATGGGCAAATGCAGCTTGCTTTTAGGTGGTGAATTCTGATTGAATTTGAGATCAGTTTGAGATGCTTCTGAATTCAGTCAGTTTATTGACAGGCGTATTTTGGCCTGCAATTGAGCTCCTTCTAAGCCGCGCCAACCTGGTTTAAACTGCTTTTGTGTTCTCATTGACTTGTACAGGGAGAGAAAAGCACTTTTGACAATAAAGGTCCACCGCCACAGGACCTAGCTACTTTTTTTTGGTATTACATGCCTGTGCAGTAACCTTGATAAAGCTCCTCTAGTTTGTGTATGTTTGTACTTTCCATATCCCCACTTTTAGATTCCCCTTTACCAGTCTCAATGCCTATTGTACTGAACATGTCCTCCTTTTTTAACCTCTGTTTAACCCTCTACTGTGTAGCCACCTTGCCTTAATCGGTGTGACTCCTTACATTTAGTTCTGCTGGACTATATCCAGCTTAGCTAATCAGTCTGGCTCATGTGGTTTCTCCTAAGTACTCTGTGATTGTTTGCATCTGCCTACTGCTGGGTGTAACCTTGAAACAGAACAGAGCATCCAATAATGGATTATGAATATGTTTTTCTCTCTAGCCAATCACTAGGAGATTCATGGCCAGTGGTGCATGCTGGAGGACATACATATTCAGGGCTGACATTGTGAATCTTTTTCTCCTCCCAGTCTCCTGCCTGGGGGAGGGTGTGTAAAGTGTGTGTTGTCTGCCCAGACCTGTAGGCAGGTAAGGACCCAGTCGGGGTCTAAAACTGTTTCTGGGCTGGAGAACCAGGGAGGAACTTCATCTGCTGGAGGTGCCTGAGAAGCCAGGATGGGTTTGGACCTCAGAGAGATGTCCAGTGTCTCGTCTAGGGAATTCTATGTTAGATCTGCTAACCACACAGTGGCACTGTAATCTGTTTAAAGGACCTCCACACTTTGAAGCTGGGAAGTGGTTGATGAGTCTGAAAATCTGTATTGTCTGAGATGTCTGTAGCTCTTCACCCTCTCTCCCATTCTTCTCACTTATGGAATTAAATATTAGAACATCCTTAAAGTTACTGGCGGCCAACTTTACTTTCATATTCTACAAACTGGCTAAGGACTCATCCCTCAGGTGAAATATTAGCCCACCCTGCCTCTTAGGTCTCCTATATGCTCCTAGAGGCCTGTATGCCCTTCCTTTGCATTGTGTGCAATGTACGCTACCAGTCCACCTTAAAGAGTACACCCTAAGTCTGATGTGGCTGTTGTGCTCTTCCTCGGTTGTAAATAACTCTCTTGAAATGCATTTTCAAGTCAAGAAACAGGCATAATTATTAGGGCTGTTAATGATTAAAATGTTTGTGTTCGATTAATCGACATTTTTTTTAATCAATTAATTGATTAATTTCGATTAATTATAATGCACATATCCAACACAGATCCAACTACATTGGCCTATACACATACAGTACAGCAATGAAGTAATAAAATGAACTAGGATCACACTAATGCAGCACGTTATTAATCTCACGTGGGGCAACTCAGGATAATAATGTGCTGGATTAGTGTGATCCTAGTTCATTGTATGACTTCATTGCTGTGCTGTATGTGTGTAGGCCAATGCCTTGGCTGGAGCTCGTGCAGAAAGTTTCAAAAAAAAATTAATCGATCAAAAAAATTTTAATCGATCAAAAAGATTAACGATTAATTGAGAAATTAATTGTTAATTTGCACAGCCCTAATAATTATATAATATCTTTAAAGCAGAATGCCAGGATTTATTTTTTTATTAACCTTTGCAGCGAGGCTACCCCTGCACTGCAAGAGTTAACTGCTCGTTTATCTCTAGGTTAAAAAAAAAAAAAAAAGAATTACAGAGTAGGAGCCACAAGGGGAGTACCGGGCATAATGAGAGCCCCAGTGCCCTTGGGCTCCCACGCGGGCCCATAACAACTCGAACCTACCTATGGTAAGGCAACAGATTGCTGTGCTGTTTAGCCGTTACAGCTGCTGGTTCGTGTGCCTTATCCCTGCAATGCTGCCGGAGCTCTTAGAGAACACGTCCGCTCCCGGCCATTGACAAGCCACGCCCCCCCATTGCAAGGGTTAATACAAAAATCCTGGCGTTTTAATCCTTTAAACAAAGCATTGTGAGGTGACAAATAGTTTTTTGTTTTTGGTGAAGCCAAAAACCTTTTTCAGGCAGAGTGGTGAGGGATTGGACTACCTCTCTACATTACAAAGATTTACCTTCAATTCCTGACCTGCTGACAATGGCTTTTCCAGACAGCAAGTGAGGGAAAATGTGCAACAAAAACTAAGACAGAAAACAAAATGTCACAGGGGATCTAGCCCTTCCCTAGAAGGCTAGTACCCTGTGAGCCTACTAAAGAAAACCATTTTTATTTCTGTCTGCGTTCTTAGAGAGCTCCTCTAATTTCCTGTTTGGTAGGAGGTTGTCAGCAGGACAGGACACGAACATAACAGCCCCTAAAGTAAAATCCTTATAGGGGTCTTGACCCTCTCCACTCTATCCAAAACAGGAAAAAAAGTTTGGGCTGGACATACATTTTAAAGCTCTACTCCTGGAAAGCAGCTACATAGCAGCAAGATAGCACAGCAAGATCCTGGACTTCTGTGCAGACTATAGTGCATTTAAGCAGCCAAGTCCCTGAGCCTGTTACTGAGCAATGAAAGAAAAGCTGCTCCTTGGTAAAGTCTTTCCAGTGTTCTGCCCTCCTGTGAGCGTGTTCAATGTAAGCAATAGATACTTTATTTGGTTCCTAGTGCTGCCCCTGTCTTTCCAAGTCGCAACTCTGCTATGCAGAGAATTGTAGGAGGATAATATGGAAAGATTTAGGTGTGTATATTTGTTCTAGTTTTAATTAATATATAACTAGGTAAAATTGTGTTTTTAATATCTACCTGGAATTCAGCTTTAACACTGTCTGCAGTCTAATTGCACATCTTGCAGAAACCCTTTATTATCTGAACTTTGGTTAGGAAAGGCAAAGAGGACAATGAAACTGTGCTTGAAGATAACTTTAATGAAGGTTTTGCACAGGAACAAAGTGAGGTAACTAAATACACCAAAAAAAACAAAACAAAACAATGTTGTTTCTCATATCCCTGATATGTTTTGTATTAACTATACCAATTATACCATAAACTACTTTTCGGCATTGAGCTGATTACTTCTAGGAACTAAATACTATTCACTTTTACTATGTCAGAACAGATGACTGCTTATGATTGCTGCATGGCATATGCACCCATTGACTGTTCTTCAGGTTGATTTTCTGGTTGATCAGCTGATAGTTATAATGGCTGTTCTTCATCATCTGTAGCTACTGGTTGCTCATTTTCTGTAAGTGGCACCTCACTGTCTATAACTTCCTGTTGTTGGTCAAATGATTGAGCTGGCTGTTCAACTGGTTGAACGGGTAGCTGCTCTTCAGCTGGGGTTGTTAGCTGTTCACTTGCAGGGCCTCC